CAGGCAGGGTCGCCAGGACGCTCTCCCCAGTGTCATCCCCGACGGTCAAGGGCAGTGGCGTCGCGTGACGTCATGCGACGCTGCAGTGACGCAACTAGTCTCCAAGGGCAACCCACGGTTATGGTCGCTTGGCAACCCCTTTTCGCCCTACCGCTGCCGCTCGAGTCGCGGCTGCCGAGTGCCATACTCCCTCCCACCCTCTTATCCCACCTCATATCGCAGCCGCACTCTCTATCTCGCGTACACGTGCCGTTGCTCAATGAACTCTCCCCGCCGTCTCTCCCTTTCTCTCTCTCTCTCTCTCTCTCTCTCTCTCACACTCTTTTTCTCCTGCTTCCCCCGCTGTGCCGCACCGCGCCGCACCGCGCCGTTCCGTTCCGTTCGCCGTGACGTGACCCTAACCCCTAGCGGAGCCTTCGCGGATGCTGCGAGCTGCGACGCAACCCGGAGTAACGACACCCCGGCCGGTTTACTCTTCTCTTCTCCCTTGCCGCTCACCGTCGGGATTTTTCACTTTAATATCAACACACGCTAATTCTGGAAAATATCATAGAACTCGACCGGTCCGTGTAATACTGGGAATTATATTACTCCTGTCCCGAAATCGTGGTGTAAAATCGTGCAATGCTACCCTATACTTTGCTATTTAACGAATAATCGATGGAATTGTTTCAATTCCGGATAGCAGAGAATATCCTGGAAAGTTCCAATCTTCGCTCGTCCTGCAAGACAACAGGTGTTTAGATTTCAAATCGAAGGAAAGATTTTGTTATTATTAAAATATCTGACGATTTACCTTTATCCGAAATGTCGATCATATATGATTGAAGGCCCGATTTATCAGTCTCGATTTGTCTGTGACGAAAAATATCTTTTCGTTAGGTTTTACGTTCGTTCCACAAAAAAAAAGATTTTACTAAGAAGAAAAGGTGATAAAAGAAGACAAAAAAAAATAGTGAAACTGTCCCAACTGTCCCCAAGCCGAGACAGACATCTATTAAGATAAAGAAAGAAGAGGATGCGCGCGAGATGTTAAGGAAGACGCGGAGAAAGGCAGGCAAAACACAGAAAGAGAGAAAAGGAGAAGGGAAAAAAGGAAGAGAGCACTCGGAGGGATTTCTCGCGGTGAGACGGAGAGCAGCGGAAGGTATACCGCGAAGTGCAGAGGAGGCTTCATCTCGCTCTCGGTCCTATTTATAGACGTGCTCTCAGCTTCACTCGTGCCCACTGTCGCTCGTGCACTGTCTTTCTTATGTAGGTGCCTGTATACCTATATATACGTAGCGACTATATCACCCGTTTTCTCTCTCTTTCTCTCTTTCTCTCTTTTTACGGGCGTGCTACCGAGTCGAGACCAAAACCGTGCAAGATGTCCGGAACGCGAGAGATCGATCGCGTTGAATTCAAACCGCGAAACAATTGTCTGCGTTACGATAGCGGATGTCGCATGTATTTCCGCTGAAAAGATGCTTTTGTAACAACGTAGAGATTGAGGTAACGCCTTCACTGGCGGATCTACGAAGGGGGCCATGGGAGCCATAGTCCCTCCTTGAAGTCTTCTTCTTTTTTTCAAAATATTTATAGCAAAATGTTACGTAATTTTTAATATTTTTGAAATGCTTAATTACAATCTTAATATTTCAAAAATATTTTTTAATTTAAAAGACTTCTACATATAAAAACATATAGGTTTTATTATATACTTTTCCTGTATTAATATAATTTTAAATAAATAATTTTATGAATTATACATTTAAATAATATTTTTCAATGCAATCATTTAAATAATAACTTTATATTCTGTTTTTAATATTTGCCCTTAAAACAAAATGCTTACGGCGTACCAATAACCTTTTCCTGACAAAGAATAAATGTTAAAAAAGGCCATTTTTTGCCTATTAATAGAAACTTAAAAAATACACAGTGAATTTTATAAATTTCAATCAGCTGCACACAATGGTGCTATTAGTTTTCATTGAAAATTCGGAGAACATTCTTATTTTTCAAGTTAAAGTCCTTATTTTAGCTAAAAAGTAGGACTTTCATCTGAAAAATAATGTTCCTCACATTTTTAAGGGAACCAATAACACTATCGTGTTCAACAAATCAAAATCTATCAGATTTGCTGTGTTTTTTACGTTTCTATTAGTGGGCGAAAAATGACCTTTTTTAAATATTGTTCTTTTTGGATCCGTCAATGAGAACCTTTCGTGTCCTCATCCTCATAACTGGACCATTTGAACGTTTCGAACGCGCACGGTGGTTCTCACTTAACGGTTTAATTTTCGCGATTCTATCACGATCGTGGCTAAATTTGTTGGTTTAATTAAATCTCCATTAAATTTTTATCAGAAACAGACTCTGACATTTTCTTTAGCGAAACATATATGTGGATATATATGTATGTTCGCACGTGCTGACGCGTGTGCTCAACAGCGAAATAATTTCTGTTCATGAAAATTTTATTAAATTTTCTCGCTTTCAAATTTGAATATCAAATGAGCAACTGCTTCTTCTTCCGATTGAAATTATATAAAATTTGCTTGAAATATTAACTGGATAACAAAATCTTATTATTTACGTATTATTTAACGGGGTAATCTATCAAAATTTCTTTTATAACTGAATATTTGTAAAATTTATTTATCGATATTTTTTATTAAGGGAAACTATATTTTATCCTTTGAATAGAATATTCAGTTTTTTATTCTTTTTAAGGAAAATTGTTTTACCTTTTGTGAAATTGAATATTCAGCTTCTTATTTGCGTATTAACGGTGTAATAAAAATTCTTTCTATAATTGAATACTTGAAAAATGTATTTATCGATATTTTTATTAAGGGAAACTATATTTTACCTTTTAACTAGAATATTCAGCTTTTTATCCTTTTTTATAGATGGTTCAAGTTAAAGACACAAAGTTTTACAAATGATATTTTTATTTGACATCTTATAATTGAATCCAAACTTTATTCCAAATCAATCAATTTGATGTTGCGAATTTGAGAATTTTCACGTTAGTTTGCCTTAATACTATCGGAATGCTTAAGATCGTGCGTGGACTAATGCCCCGTGAGCTTGTTGTATACATTTCGTGTTTGTTACACAGAGTGTCGAGGAAAGCTTTAAAGTGTTTAAAAACTCGACGGCATGTTCCTTGATCAACATAAAGTCGACAATCTTCTTAAGTAAAATATTGATATGTCGATAATTATGTGCATTAAGAAACAATAAATTTTTTAGAGGATTCGGACATAAGTATAATTCTAGTCATAACTTCGAGCGAACTTTGGGATAACAAAATTTTTATTTAAAGTTTAGATAATTTATATATAATAAAATTTCGGCTGAGAAAAAATCGACTTCAAATTGCTCAAGGAATGCATCCACCGATCATTTAATTCCTTCTCTAACAGTTTGTATACAACTTGTGAAAGGGTTACGAAAATAATCAAAACAACTTGGCCTCGAGTCAATGTTAATTGTATTTCTGTTAATAATTGTTGCAAGATTGTTCGCGTTACCCGCTTTGCAAAGAGAAGCATATGCAGGAGCGATGATGACAACACGAATATACAGGTAGCTGGGAGCTTTGTTATGTGCATTGCACTCGGAGCGCAATATGTATAATAATTACATATAATTTATCTAGCGATAGGATAATACTATCTGTAAAAAAAGTATTTTCTTGGGGACGCGCTTGCATTACATTGCGTTTACAATTTATGTAGTGCGTATCATCGCGTTCGCATATGGCGTGTATGTGTGTGTGTGTGTGTGTGTGTGTGTGTGTGTGTGTGTGTGTGCGTGCGCGTGTGTGTGTGCGTGCGCGTGCGCGTGTGTGTGTGTGTGTGCGTGCGTGTACATATGCGACTTTACGTTTATAATTCGTATAAGCTTGGGTATACCATGTCATTTCTGTCACTGTTGCAACGCATTGCACGCCAGAATAGTCATTACAATATAATAAAAATAATTATTTAACTTTAACAATATATTCATTTGATATAGTCATCTTGTTAATAAATAGAGCAACATATACATAACATTAACAATTGCTAAATATATGTATACACGTACGGGATAATAATGCGAAATGAAGAAAAGAAAAGAAGGGGTCGGGAGCAGAGGGGGGAGAGGGCGGGAAATGGCAAGAGAACGTTAGATTTTACATACATACAGCAATTATGTATAATAAGTTATATACATATGTACATGAAATATTTCTTTCAACAACGATAATCACGTTTAATTACAATTATTTCGTGGAATTTTTTTACAATAATGAGAAAGGAGGAAGGAAAGAGAGGAGGGAACGAAAGAATGATTGAGAATTGGAAGTATTTGACGGAGACAGCCGAGATTTAGCGTGTTCGGAGCACGAAGGAAATATGCAAGAACGTAGATGTAAGAGCAACGAGATAGTTAAAAAAAAGGGGACGGGGAGGAGGAGAGGAAAGAAAAGCGATCGCTGCTACAAAATCAAAATTCAATATCCCGTGAAAATTATATGGGGAAATTCACGAAAATATATTGCACAATTTCACCGGCAGGGAAACGTAGCTTCGGGAAAAATTTAACAATCGTCGAAACTAAGTTTCTCAACAACATTTTATCGCAACATGAGGAGAGGAATTTTTTTTCTCTTCCTTTTTATCATCTATATCTCTTCTAACGCAATTCCATAAAATCTTTTTAAAAAATAAATACTTTTCGTTTTGACCATTTTCTGTTTATGAGAGAGAGAGATTCAGTGTGTGAATCAATAGTTATATATACAAATATATACTCAATAAAAAAATATTTCTATTTCCGTTGCCGCGAACCTTGTCAACAGCCCCGCTTTCCTTGAAAGATAGACCTACCTACAAATATACAGCTCCATCCATGGAAACATGAATTTCTTGGGAATTGCATTCGAACCGCATGAGTCTTTTAAATTGCGCTTTCAACGGGGAAGTGAAGTGGGGTAGAGGGGACGAGATATATGCTCTTAAATATTGAGTCCCGCTTCTCTCATATTGACCATGGAACGAGTCGATATATAATACTTCATCGTTTTACGTAGCATTACATTCTCTCACAGTCGTTTGCATGCAATGAGACGCATTGCTCCTCCTCATCCCACCCTTATTCCTCCTCTCGTCGCTCCCTCCTTTTCGATCTCTCTCCCTGTCTCTCTCTCTATTTCTATCTATCTTCCGCTTCACTCTACAGTTCCCGGAAGCTGCGGATGGTATCGATTTCATGTTATACAATTGCACGAAAATGCTCTCGCCACGCTCAATGGCATCTAGATAGATGCCACCGAATATCTTGCGAGGAGTGAGGGAGGGGGAGAGCGAACGAGAGAGAGAGAGAGAGAGAGAGAGAGAGAGAGAGAGAGAAAGTTCACATTTTGTACGTATCTGGATACAAGCTAAGACACGAAGACATGTAAAGCAGAATAATAATGTCTGTCATTTTTCTATTTTAAGAACAGGATTTTTTTTTTATAATCGGACGATTAACTTCCATTTCATTGTAATAGCTTCCATTCAACTGTGAGTTCGTTTTCAATGATCGCACAGATTGTAGTATATTTTAAGTACTTCGATTTTTCGCTGTGACGCAAGAGACATTATTTTTGTACAATGAGAAAACCGTATTCTTATGAGTTTAGTCTTAAAATACTTGAAGTTAATCGTTCTCTCACGAATGATAAAAATTGCATATACATCTAATTCTTTCTTTTTTAATTCACATGATAATTTTTGAAATGAGCAAATTGTTTATTATTATTCTTATGATTTATAGATATGATAGCGGAAATTTCAAAGAATTTTTGTGTTCGTAAGACTCAATTAATTTGTATCCAGCTATGTTTTAAGATAAATTATAAAGGATCGACGATAAATAATGGAAGACCGACGATAAATAACGGATCAGTCGGCGACGGATCAGTTTTGACCGCCTAAAGATTTCCGCAATTTCTTCATCGGTCATCATGAGAGGTGCAGAAAAGAAAAGATGATCGATGATCGAGAAAGAGAAGAGAAGAGAAGAGAAGAGAGAGAGAGAGAGAGAGAGAGAGAGAGAGAAAGAAAGAAAGAAAGAAGAGGAAAATAAGAATCGGGGAGACATAGATCACAACTTGTCAGAACGTGACAAACGTAATGAGATCTCAGACGTTAAAGGGGATTTTTTTCAACATCGTTGTCATGGAATTCATTGATTGCAGGGTGACGACGCGTGGCTCTGGTGATGGGTTCTTGGATTAGCGTGAGACGCCTCGCGTTTCAGCCTCTGCTTCAGATGTACCTTCGCGTGACGCTTCTTCTCGTCGCTCCTGGCGAACTTTCGGCCGCACTGATCACAGCAAAAGGGTTTTTCACCCGTGTGCGTGCGCACGTGGGTGGTTAGGTGATCACTCCTCGAAAACGAGCGCATGCAGATGCGACATTGAAACGGCTTCTGCCCGGTGTGAATACGTATGTGCCGAGTGAGCTCGTCACTACGGGAGAACCTGCGATCGCAACCATCCACCGGACAGGCGTAGGGCCGCTCGTGGACCGGCGTTTTGCTCGGTCGATTCGGATACTTCCGCGGTTTCACGGGAACCAACCGGAGCGGTATCGCGCTTTGCTGATAGACCTGAGAAAGGATCTCATGACCCTTTGATGTGCTCGGATTGTATTCGGCCAGCTGGACTCCCGCGTTACCGCAGGTGCCAGATGGTGGCGCTTGTTGCTGTTGTTGTTGTTGTTGTTGAGCTTGCGTTTGAGCTTGTTGCGGCTGTTGTACATTTGGAGTGTAACCGGTGCCGGTTGGCTCCTGCTTCAACGTTGTCTCCTGGTGATGAGTGTGAGAATGATGGTGGGAGAGAAGACCGGGATCGTAAGCATCCTCGTGACCCGTCAGCCAGGTCGTGGAGGTGGTGGTCGCCGTATCGTGATAACCAGGCGGTGGGGGTGGCTTCGAATCGACCTGCAGCAATTCGACGGTCTCGCCGCTGTACGCGGTCGAGTGTAGGTTGGGGTGAAGGAACGGCTGGCCCGCCAAGGTTAAGGTTGGTGACGGTAACGGTGCCCACAGCTCCTGACCCGTCGGCTGTTGCGGTTGCTGCTGCTGCTGGTCGCCCTGGAGATTGCTCAGAGGCGAGGACTGCGTACAGGTCGTGGTGAAGACGCCGCGATAGGTCAACGTCGGTACATTGCAGATATTCACGCTCGTCGCGGGCGCGGTAGACGTGGAATGCGGTGAGTATAAAATTACACCACTCTGCAGCGCGTTACAGCGATCCGCCTCGTCCTGAGTTTGGTGGTGGCGCGACGGCGGACTGCTCGAGGAAGGCGCGTTCGACGTGACGGCATTTCGCGCGTCCTGATGGTGATGATGCCGATGATCCCTACCGGCGGACGGGCCGTTCTCGTCTTCCTCCGCGGTCGCCTCTTCTAGAGAGAGATCCTCGCTCGCCAGGCTGCCTGTGTGAAACACCGATAAAATCATCGTTTAGTCTCGATTTCAAACGTACCACGTGCATGTCATCGTACGTATGTTTCATGTCCTATATACGCAACGAATGGGTGTGTATTTGTACCGGGAACCGACAGGAAGAAACACGCGATACGGGGGTGACTTTATCTCTCAAAGGCTCTATCTTTTGTCTGCATCCTGCCGCGCATTGTTACTTCCTTTCATACGCATATAATTGTTTGACTGGCGTTGAGGAAGTACTCATCAAAATCACAAACAAATTAAATGCAATACTGTGCAATTTTTGTTTATATAAAAAGATTTTACCGAATTACCGATAATGTTTTCCCGATATAACTTGTCGGATATATCGCTGAGGAATAATACACGAAGGAATCGTAATTGTGTGTTTGCGCTTTTATTAAATATACGTGCTTGCATGTCGGGAGATAAAAAGGTATATAGCAAACGCTTTTGTAAAGCTGTACGATAATCGGGAGGGTTATTACGGTACTGAGGGTGGCGGAGGTGGGGACGGCTGGAAGCATGAATGAACCGAACCGAAGGGATAGTGGGAGGAGGCGGGCGAGGAAGAGGAGGTGGTGATGCAGAGGAGGGTCTCTGAATGTCGGGGTCGTTGGGTATTGATCCGCGACAGGCGGACAGACCTTCGATATTACGTGTTTTCGCGGGCGAGTGTAATAAACGTCAGTAACACGCCTCGTGGCTCTTCGCCACAGACGCTATACCGGCTGATGCTTGCGCACCGCCGAGAGTGCGGTACTCGAGTACTTTGGACGATATCTAAATTTTCCCGCGAATGATGCAGATGTTAACGACCAGGCATCGAGGAACGCGAGGAGTTCGCGAACGTATAGAAAGCGAAAGGTCGACGAAAGCGAAACAGTACGTATTCAATGAGCGCCGTGTTTTCGCCCATGTAATCCTGTTAATGTTCGCCGAATCACGAAGGATACAGATTGTATCCAATCGGTCCTGAGAGCCTCAACTATACAACAATGATCGCATATAGTATATTACATTATCTCTCTTTGTTGCGTTACATCACCAACGAAACGCATTCGGAGTAAATAAAGTCCTAACGATGAAGAAGTAGATATTCGAATAAAGCTGCGTTAAGAGAAACGAGAGGATTGTCTCTGTTTCTCCCCCGCCCCCCTCTCTCTCTCTCTCTCTCTCTCTCTCGATCTCTCGATTCTCATCTTAAGGATTAGCTGATTGTAGGTACCTGAGATTGGTGGCGGTTCGACAAGCGCGGAGGGCCCGAAGAAAGACGGTAGGTCGCTGCTGGTGGTAACCGGCGTGTTCAAGTCGCCGGGCTTATCCTTATCGTTCGTATCATGTATATCGCTCCTGCAATTCCTGATGCAACTCTTGTCATCGTCGTCAGGTTGCCGGTGCCGCTTGCCGTCCGCGATATCGGTGGACGGTGACGAGGCATTGGGGTGCAGCTGATGCTGATGATGATCGTCCAATCGATGATGATGCTGATGATGCCGTTCATGATTGTGTTCCGTGGGGGTTGTTGAGCTGATTTGAAGTTGCATATGTAACGGCACGTTTGTGGACAGGGAGAGCTGCGGCGTGTTTGTTTTGCCGCAGCTGGTAGAGGACGAATTCGTGCAGGTCGCGTTCACAGATGTCCCGCTGACGCCGCAAGTGACCGAGCTGGACGAGGAGGCCGCGTTGTACGGTAAACACGCGTCGAAGCTAAGCTGCACCGGCAGATTGAACGTCGCGTGATGATGATGATGATGATGACCCAGTGGTGGTGAGGAGAGCAGAAACGGGCTGGTGGCCGCGTGCGGCTGCGAGCCCACCACCTCTACGCCGTCCATAGTCATCCTCTGGAGCTGGTCGCCTCCCTGGGCGATGGCAGAATCCTCGGTGCCGCACTGCGTGTCCTCGCCTGCGGTTGTATCGTTCAACGTAATTATTATGATTAAAATTACTGCCGCAATCCTCGATCACTCCAAGTATTATTATTCCGAGAGCAATTAAGTATCTCTCTCTCTTTCTCTCTCTCTCTTTCTCTCTCCCTCTCTCTCTCTCCCTCTCTCTCTCTCTCTTTCTCCCAATGTAAATAGTGCGCGTGTTAAAGATGTGTGAATAATGCGTTAATATTCTCCCGATCTATCAAAGGAATCGATCCGTCACTCTACTCCTTTCAGCTAGTAGGATTAGTAATGATTAAGTATGTGTGACGTTTCTCTCTTTCTTGCTCGATCGCGTGGCGCGCGCCCTTGGTTAACTCAATCGAACCGTCCGCGCGCCGGTTTGACGCGAGAAAAAGAGCTGTCTTCTTTCCCGCCTTGGCTTTCTTTTTTTTTCTACCTCGATAGATGCCACCGGCCGTGGCCGGTAACACCACGTCGCAGAATGGACCACCACCGACCACTAGTAATCACCATCACCGACACCAATTTTTACCACCACCGTGTTCGTCAAGGAAGCTTACGCGTGTGTAGGACCGTTGCAGCTGTCTTGAATACGCATAGATATTTCGTCGATCGGTCAATTCGATCTGGTACCACCGTACTTGTTTTCACCTCGCGAACGATGAGGAGGATAGACTATTATGAACAACGATATATATCGTGGGGACCGGTGTACGCGTGTGTACGTCCGGGACGCGTATCGCTCTCGCGAGATATTACACTCCTCTTCTCACCTTCCGGACGTTTCGAACGCGACGCGTCCGAGAGAGCCGATGTGAATACGCGTCGGAAAGCGAGGCAAAAGTATTCGTGCGGCGAGAGAAGACTTGTGTCCGGCAACCGCCACCCGCCGTCGCCGTCGCT